TGATTTCAGAGAGAGGAAGGGAGAGAGGGGGCGAGAGAGAGACAGAAACATCAATGATGAGAGTCACTGATCGGCTGCCTCCTGCCCCCCCTGCTGGGGATCGAGCCTGAAACCCGGGCCTGTGCCCTGACTGGGAGTCGAACCTCGATCTCCTGGATCCTAGGTCGATGCTCAGCCGCTGAGCCACGCCAGACGGGCCAGGTGGCTTCCTTTTAATGAAACAGAGGGGGCTTGGCTCCTGCGAGTCAGTAAAAACCTGCCCGCCTGTGGTTTCAGGTCCATCGGTGGGCACAGCGTCGAGTCAGACCTCTAATCTCCCCAGTGGCCGCCCGCCCTGGGGACAGGTGGAACCTGAGGTGACTTCCTGGCTGAGGAAGGCCTTCTAATTTCGTCTCCTTTCAGGAGCTGCTAACTTTTACATTCTGAATTGTGTGTAGGCGAAAGTGGGGATTATTTTTTTTTTTAGAAAAATGAATATAATGCAATTAGTTAAGTGTATGCAGGAGAAATAGGTGGGGAAAATTATAAGTGAAGTTTCTGCCACAGTCAAAGCTTTTAACCAAAAAAAAGTCCAAAACTTATCTTGAGCCGCTTGAAAGGCGAACATGCTTCTTTCTCCGTGAGGCTCTGCTTCAGCCGTCTCAACCCCACAGTGGGAGATCTTCCCTTGAAGAGGTTCCCCCGCCCAGCAGCGGCCTGTTTGATGTTAGAAGGGGGAAGGGGGAGCTGGCCCTGGCTTCCAGGTCCTGTGAATCTGGGAGCCGAACAGCAGTAAGCACAGGCCACCTCATGGGCTTACAGAAGGATTTACACGTCCCTGGGGCCTCGTTTATCGGGGTGTGTCACCCACAGACTTGGCAGAGTAAGAAGCCTGCATCATGTGGAAGGATCCCAGTTACGGGCAGGGAGAGCGAAGTGTCGCTTCCATTTGCAAAGACAAACACGAGCACTTCGTAAGGCCCGATACTGTGCTGAGCCCCCTGCGTGGACTGTTAGCTCACCCCTCACAGTGACCCTGAGAGGCAGGCAGGGTTCCCCCTTTTCCTCCGCACCCCCCCCAAGGGAGGTGAAGGAAGGTCGGGGAGGGTGTGTGCACAGGTGGTGATGGTGAGGCAGGAAGGTGAACCCAGGTGTCCTGAGTCT